GACTCCGTCAGTGGTCGAACCCGAAGCTTCCAGGTTGCACAGTGAGCCACTTCTATCACTTCGCGATGTAGTGCAGTAGTCATCGGATCCCATTGTTCTGTACTTGTCTTCATGTTCTACTTGGTTTGCCACGTTAGTCGTAATCTCTCCTCGGAACTTCGTGAAATCTCATCTCGAAGTATATCACTTATAAGTGCCAAATAGTAATTCAATTTTGAGACTTGTGCAGTAATTTTTTCGGGTAAATGATCAATTTTATCGCTTAGTAGAATCACCTTGTTGATGCAGGTAGATTAGTAAACTATGTAAGATGGGTGATCCACCCGTAGCTTGATCAAACTAAAAGTTATCACAGCCTTCAAATAAAAAGCAGAGTGCTCCATATATTTACTTTTGTGCACATCAAGCCGAAAGACGTCACCCTTGATGGTCGCTTGGTTCCTCTAAAACAGAAAGAAGCAGTAAAAATGATTTAGGTTCATGGTTTAGTCGAGTATGAAGGTTTATATATATTTTTGATAGCCTTGGGAAGTTCTACACTTATATAGAAAGGCCTTTAATCAGTCTGACTGTCATGCGCATGATCATGTGATTTTTGTTTGAACGTTCGACATGCTGTGATTGGCTGTTAAGTCTTCTCATGGATTTTTAAACCCTTTTGAAGGATCTAGAGGGTATTGTCTCACTCTATAACAGCTCTCCCTTTCTAAAATCTATATGTAATAGTGTTGCTTAGGATTCATTCGGAGCTTTTTCATGGGTTTCCTGAACCGAGTCGTTCGATACTGTGATGGATGGACATGATTCTGGCACCTTGGGGTTTAGAAATCGTGAATCGTTTCGTGATTGTTATGGATTGTCCAGTAATGTATTGAGTGGTTAGTTAAGGTGTGTATCATTTTTACTGTAGTCATGACGTCTCGGTCTTAATTGATTTATATGTCTGCTCCAGATTTCTGTACCAACTTGAACTTCGTAAAGTACTCCCATCGCACCCATTTCCCATAGATTTTTAACCCAATATTTTCTAGTCATAACCTTGTCACTAGGTTGAAGTTTTCTGCATTGTTGTGGCTACTTACTCCTTTTTGACTTAGCTGTAGGCAGCATAAACGCAAGAACAGTTCTTATTCGGCGACCAAACATACCTTCTGCAGGAGGTGTGCCATTTGGTGTATTGGAATTCGGTATGCTTCTATAGCTTTTAAGGAATCTGTTAATGACAGTATTTACCGACCCTTCTCCTTTCCCTTGCAATAAAGCATCTTTAAACGCATCCAAAAATCGTTCTACTTGACCACTTAATCGTGAGTAGTAAGGTGGTGATCGCAATCTAGGTGTAGTTTATCGGAATGATAAGTTACTGCGCTATGCGATGAATCGCCATAGTCAACGCCACAGTATATTACCCCTATGACTTACTTCTGACAGCCTGATACGTTGTGAGAGACTCATGAATTTGGGTGGATTCAGAGTTTTTCAGTTGCCTGCTGATTAGTGGACCTGATGTCTGAAGTTGACCTGGCTTGCAGACGATCTTGGTGTCCGTTTTCTCGTATGGACACTATCATGCAAAGCAACTGTATGTGCAGAGGCTTCGTACCCTCTTGGGTATCTGTGTAATTGTCGACTTTGATTATTTGGTTTACACTTGTACCACTCGAGAGCTTCTTGTAGACATTCATTGTAAGGTACAGTTGTAGTAAGGCTGGATAGCAAGCACACTACACATGGTACATCATTTTGCAAACCTTCTGCAAATACTTCTTGGTTTTCATGAGCATGAACTGATCCATTGTTCGTGTCATTGATCATTTTGGGGTGGAGAGTGAACGAGTTACTGTCGTCCTTATTTGTCACTGTAACATGAACAATATTATCAGGCTCTTTAAACTCATTTTCATCTTCACCTTGTACATTGGGAGTGCATTGGGAGTCTATTTCAAAATATTGAGGACTTATGGATGTAGATTCTGCCTGGATGTCATCCAGCATTTCACTATATTTGTCAATAATTCTTAGTAATGGCCCTTCCATTTTTTCATTATAGCTTTGTAAAAATGCTTGAAATTCCTCAATAGAAGGAGTTGTCATTTTTTCTTCCGTCTTCACTTTTGTAACTTCAATTGCCACTTTTTATGTCTTTACAGTGACTTAATATAGCCTGAATTTTATAAATATACGGACGCTTGTACAAAAATGACTTCAGATTTCACCCCCTGTTGGTCATTCAGTTCTCTGTAAATAGAAACGGTGGTAATAGAACAGAAGGTGTATTTGCAACGGCAACTTCCACAATATATACAAATTAAAAGATTTTTATGTATATATCAATGACTTTAGCTATTTCCAGGCCTACTGGATTTAAAATTGTATTGGTTTTATTGTCTCTTCAATCAACCTGATACTTACAAGTTGGTTCACGTGTTTCTTCCCGAAACTCTGAAGCAAAGTGATTGGCTGAAAAGGACTTTAGGTAAATTTGGCTTCTTATGAAGATTTTTACCAATCTTTCTGCACACTATAACACTTTTCTCTACCTATAATTTTGGTTTCATTATCTTAATGGCAATTTATTTGATTGGCGAAGACGAAGGCGTGCCCTATGTGGTCTTCGAATGAGAAAGAATTTTGCAGATTCATCGAATGGTTGGTTTCAAACTGGAGTTTTATTTTGCTTTATACTACTCTCAAATCCTCGATTATGTAACATCGATCGCCATCCCATTTTGTCATAGGCAAATCTAGTGCTCATCTATCCACATTCCAAGTGTATTTGGTTATTACATCATAACTTCATATTTACAGGTTGAGCATGGTAAAAATTTTACGAAAATACGTGTGTACTCAAATCAACTGTCTCCTAACTGTGTTATCATAGGGGATTTTCCAAGAGTGAAAAGTTTTAGTTAAGTCATGATTGAATACAGATTATTTAAAGTTTCGATGTTACACTGAATACAGTGAATAGGATGTAAAATGGCATGGTCTAGTCAACCATTTCAGTTGCTTATTGTAACCGTATCTCGACGTAGAAGGGATTAAGAACCATTATCCTTTCGAAGTTGATATCCATCATGAACTGAAATCAGCTGGAGTACCACTGAAGACCTTGGAGCACTGGGTAGTTGTTTCGTCCTGGAATAGGGTTCCTCAGAAGTGCGCACTCTTGACTCTACTAGTGATGGAACCCGGGACCTTCAATTCCATGGTGAGCAAGTTGCCATTGAGCCATCGGATCAAAGTCTAATGCTCCATGATTTCCTACTTTTGTCAATTCGCGATACAGCGCTACCTCTATCCATTATCTTTTTAGCAGTTGCACATGAATAGACATGTCATTTTATGATTTTGTCAAGCTGAATCATCGAGTGGACAATATTACGTTGTCTAAGCATAGAGTTCTTCGTTGATGAATCATTTAGGTATGGATCGCGCATATTGAATCATACTCTACTGTGTAAAGTAGCAGTAAGTTAGTTAGACTTATAAAAACGCATAAAGATAGTCGCATGAAGTCACGAATTATTAATTTTTCTCTGTAACTTACTTAGAAGTGATCCATGGTTCCGAATGTTTGCTGACAAGGTAAATTCATTTACTGCTATATACCCCTAATTTTCCATAACTTTTGTCTAATGTTTGTTGATAACCTTAAAATAACTAATCATTACTGTTTTCCCCCTACTCTGAAGGCTAAACTCTTATTGATTGTTAACTCTTTTAACCTAAATGTGGATTTTGTGTTGTCAATGTCATTTAGAAATGTATATATTCAGCATTGCTCTCAAGTGTTTTGACTATTGTTGAAACAGTAAAAGCTCTTTCTATCAACAGTTCGTTTCCTCTTCTTATCTTCACGTGTAGTTGATATTGTTGTACTGGTGGTTGACGTTCTAATTAGCATTACATGTTAGGTTTATATCGTTGATAGACTCTGAGGTTACACTAATTTACTTTTCTTAAGTATGGAATAAGAATTATGTACAGTGAGTTATTCTTTCTACTTCCAGCCTATTTTCTTAATTCTCATCAATTTTCTTATTTACTATATTGTTCTAAGCCATCATAAATACAACTAGTTTGATACATTTCTAGTTGGTGAAATGAAATTTTTCGTGAGTTATAAATGACATACTAGTAATAAGTGTCGTTTATTGTTTCTAAAAATTAACGCTTTCACCTAAATAGTTACATAACCGCAGGCAGAATATTCAACATGTTCAATCAGCTATATTTACATTTAAATGAATGGTAGAATTGAAAGTTGCCCTCATCTTGTTACTTACTTTACAGAAAATTTTCGTATGGAATATGTATTTTTTTTATCATTTCGATTATTTGAGATAACCATGGTTTGGCAAACTTATATTATTGATACTGGGTGATGATTGAGGATGAAGTTAAAATCTGTGACGCGACAAGTTTCGAACCACTAACTTCTACGTTGTCAGTCTCTATTGCACTATTGATTGAAGAGCTATCAGATTCAACAGCAGCTGCTGACCAGATCTTAATTTTCACTTCAATCACCGTCATGGTAATTCATGATGCTCGACAGTCGTTTCAACGTGTTGTTTGATAATTGTAATTTCCCGTTGCTATACAAGGTCGAATTGCTTCATCTCTGATGGCTGATAGGCTCCTATGCAGATGCCTTGATACTTGGTTCGAGTTTCAGTGAAAACACCATTACTCAAAGAGGTGTAGGTACATCCAGTTGATGAGTCTCAACTAAGACGAAACGCACTTTGACATGAGATGATTATTGCCTTTACCAATACATAGAGTATGTTATGTCTCATCTCTGCATTTCTTTCTGTGTCTATCAACACTGAATATCTTCAGCCTTTTACGGAATTCATGCTGTTTTCTGGGTCCAACGATGTATTGTTTAGCGTTGCAAAGAGAGAAAGAGAGAGATTTGTTTATATTCAGTGTTTATAATTCTTATAATCCTTATTTTATCTTTCTTTCAAATAATATTTTATTGTCCATAGTCGCAGAGGATCCCGCACATCACTTACCCTATCCTTATCTCCATCAATCGATTCACCTACTCCTAGTTGTTCTGTAGGATCTGCGCAATTCAGTGTATTTGGAGGAAGCCTTGATGAAGATGCATGTACAGCTGAAGTGTTATCAGAAGAGAATGAGATTGGAAATAATATTGATATGGATAATAATGATAATAATAATAATAACTTTTCCAACAGTAATCATTATAAACAATTTGCCTCCCGGTGTACTTATTTACAATCATTAGATTCTTTTCCATATACTAAATTAACAACAAGACAACAAAATCCTATGACCACTTCACCGTTAACAATTTCATCAAGTTTATGTAACTCTGGAGTTGTTACTCAAATCAGTAATTCAATTAATGATTCAAGAATTGAATTAACTAAGAAAGGACAATATTTAATGAATAATCGATGTAATTACATGTGTTGTTATCACCATCATCATCATTATCATCACCATCATCATCATCATCATCGACATCATTTTCATCATTTCGCTATACATCATTGTAAATTAGACTCTGGTTATCCGTGTTCCCTTGGCAATTTAACCTGTCAACGTAATCGAGATATAGAACAATTGATGAATGCTAGCCTACCATTAACATATGAACAGTTGAAAATTAAACTACGTGATAATTCTGCAGCATTATTTCAAGAATTTTGGGATATCCCTATGAATCATGCAGATAAAAAAGAATTGCCTATTCCAGGAATTTGTCATAAAAATCGTTATCAATCTATTCTTCCAAGTGAGTATGATTCGAATTTTGTTGTTGTTTAATTATTATGAAGTATTACAGTTATTTTTCAATTTTTGGATATATTCAACACATCGAAATCAACTCGGCGACTTTGTGCACATTCAAACAGTAGACAGTAAGCCATGCCTATTTTGTGGGGCGCTAATAATACGACTAACTGGCTGACGAAACCTCATTGGGTAGAGCAGCGGTGTTCTAACCCGTGACCCATTGTTTGAAAGTCAACTTTCTAATGTTTTTTTTTTTCAAATTATTCCTCTTGACATTTTGTTATTTTATATTTACATGTGTCGATAATGTTTTACTGAAAATTCATACTGTACTACTCTAGTGGTGATCACTTGTCATCCCCTTTCCACCGTCTGCACCCACTAAACATGTAAAATTAACAGATCTAACTAACTCCATTGTGAAGATCTAAAAATCATCTGGCAATTTTATTCACTCAGCAGCAAGTTGGCTTATTTTTAACGATTCGATTCGTTAAACATTGTTTGAATTCAACTGATAATATCCAGTTGGTGAAGAAAATGTACCTCTCTGAGATGGAATATCTCAGCTTTCACTCGTGTTTGAAGTGTAACAGCTATTCGATGTGATGTATACTCACATGACTGGTTACTTGTTAACTGAATTCAAATTGATGTATCAGACAGATAGATTAATTAGGTAGTTTTCATTGGATTGTTTCTAATAGAAATTTGACCGTTGTTGAGAACTGTAACTCCAATTTTTCAATTTTCAAATAATTTGAAACTTTTTAACCAGTGTAAAAAACTTTTTTGAAAATATGTGTATACAATTTTTAAATTAGGTTCCCTTAATGTGTATGACTATAATAGATGGCCATGTAAAGGTGAAAGAAATAAGGTTGAGGTATTTGACAACCATAATTTTTATTTGATTGTTAGTGTGTAATGTAGGTGTCCGACACAGAGTCTAAGTAAGAGCGATGCAATCAGTTTATGACATTTGAAATTTTTCTGTTAATCTTCTCCTGACGATATTGTTTTACTAGGTGAAGACACTGAATCCAGGGTCTTCTAAACGTATTGAACAGAAGTCTGAGTATATTTGGCATGTGTATCGATGGCACTTATTGAATGTAAGATAATGCTCCAGGACTAGTCTGCTGCAAGTACTCCCAGTTTAATGATATGGAGTGGAGTGGTGGGATGTATCGACCACTTCACTTACTTGGGGAGTTGCATCGGCCTTAATGGTTTTGTTGTTGACGAAATCTCAGCTCCTATACAGAAGGCCCATTTCACATTTACCAACCAACGTCACCTCTGGCATCGGTGAGATATCCGACTATCTATCAAAGGACAAGTACACTGTGCTATAGTTCGCTCTATCCTGTTGTACCGCTGTTAGACATGGCCGATGAAAGTAGGAGACATGAAAAAGTTAGTTTTTCGACCATAAGTGTCTTCGTAGCATTGCTCACGTTTGGTGGAATCACCGTGTGAGGAATGTTTAAGTCAGGCAAAGAGTACTAGACAGGACAATCCAGTAAGTCGATTTACGAGGTTGTGAACGTTCATTGAATGAGGTGGCTTAGATATGTACTGTGCATGTCAAGCCATCCCCTACCTCGACGTGCAATGCTATTGGAAGTTGGATTAGGTTGAAACAGGATCCCGGGTGACCAGACCAAGACCTGACTCCAGTTCATGAAGTATTTGACTGTCTCTCTTAGTCGCGTGGAGAGATGCAGACTGCTTGGTTGGGACCATAGAGACTGTAGAAATCAGTTAACATAGGTGTAAAACTTGGGCACTGTGGTAGAAAGTAATTCCATATTAGGTTTGTTTATTTGATTTATAATACATAGTGATCTAGTATTATTTACTTGATGACGTTTCGAGCATAAATTATCACTCATCATAATCATATCAATGTAATCACACTACTTTCGACATTTGATTTTTATAGTTATGTCAGCTCATATGAGTTTTTATTGGTGGCAAAATTTGCCATATCTCTGGTATAGGTGTTGCATCATTTCTGTTACATGTGTTGACTGTTGATTCGATGAACAAAGATTCAGTAATCAGTCTCTCTCTTTACCCACCGAATTATATTGGACTTAAGTATAGTGGCTTTATCCCACCCATTCTATTGTGTGGTTGTGTTTTAATGCATGCATAGCAATAGCCGGGTTTTTGTCTAAATTATTGATCTTATTTAGGTCTGTTATTCTATATTTAGCTAGATTCCTGTGTCCGGCTATTCTAACTGACCCCGGCCGACTAGTTTGACCTATATACTTGACCTCACAGTCATTAGATGGTATTTGATAGATTATATTATTTTGCTTAATTGGTTCTATCAGATTCTTAAGCCGACAAAGCTTATCTCTGAGTGAGTTTGTAGGTTTAAATGCCACCCTAATTCCAGCTCTGTTGAGGATTCTACGTAAAGTGTTTGAGGTACCCTCCTTATAGGGTAATACAATGGAGGCTATGAACTTTTTTCTCGTGTTGTTATGGTTGGGGAATCTTGGTGACATAGCTGAACGTCGGTGGAAATGGTGCAAATATATTCACTCTATGACATCTAAAGCTTGAGTTTACGCACTATCCTTTATCTTCAAATTGCTTATTTTCTTACACAAATTCGCCTACTTTGATATCACTCCTGTTCTTTGTGTACTTCTGTGAAGTGTGGCAAGTTGAGGCGGTGCACTTGTTTGTTAGGTTCTACGTTGATTTTTTTCCTTGTCTTGTCTCTTCTGTTAATTTCTTTTACATGAATTCTCTCATCTATATACTCTGCCTTGCATTTGAATGATTCGTTGACTATTCACATCATTTTCTTGATATTTTCTGAAATCTTTTTTTCAGTGAAATATCTAGTTTTATCAATACATGGTTATTATTCGGTTTGTTATGATTCCTTATCAATAGAGATTTATTGATGGCTTGTTGTAAGAGTTTATTTAAAATGGAGGTATTTTGACAAACTCTAGTTTTTTCGATTGTCGATTCAAATCGCTTGAGAAATACACGATCCCGTAGTTGATGTTCTGAAGACGATAGATACAAGTTTAAAGTTATAATTGTTAGGATATAATTTGGTTGGGAAGTGTTTCGTAACTGAATAAAGGATGGACAACAGTTTACAAAAAATAATGCAAATCGACAACGCTTCAAAAGTTAGTATATTAGATTGTAAGGTGGTTGGAGACTCTCAGTGATATGGCTGTAAGTCGACGTCAGTACCGCAGATGCATATACACATAATCCTCATTTTAACCGCTATACTTAGTCTCATTATCTTCTCACTTTCCTTTCTCTTTCACTACTTACTAATTCTCTTAACCGATTCTTTTTTCCTTCTTCATCTTCCATTTTATTGCCTTTTTACTGGGTTTGATGATATGACATGTCAACTTGAACCGTCCGGCAGTAATACCTGGTTCCATATCTATCTTAATGGTGATAATGATGAGATTGTAGGGTGTTACATTTGTTAAGGCCAGTGTTACTATTAATCAGGCATCTCATAGTGAAGTTTGCTTTGTCAATTTGAACTTGTGACCTAGTTGTTGGAAGCTGAGTATATATGCCGGTAGACCATTACATTATTTGATTTTATTGTCTCTTGATTTGAAATATATTAAAATGTATAACCATATTTGAAGTAAGTAAGTAGTGAAAACTCATGGAGTATTGACTGTAGGGTGGTACATGCTTCATAAATGCATAAAATGGCGTAGGCGCACTCACTATTTTATCTTTGTCTGATTCTTCGGCATTATGTTGGTTTGTACCTATTACTTATCTGTTTACTGATGTGTTATTACTATTATTATTATTGCTATTATTGTTTGTTATATTATGTTGTATTATTTGTTGGGTTATTTAACATTCGTTTACGAAGTTTTACTCTGTTCAGTTTGCTTTTCCTTCGAAACTCTACACTTCTGTTAATTTCTTCTTCTTATGTTATTATTGTGAATTGTCACGTTCTGTCCTATGACACATGGCCGTTGAAAGTAGAAGACATAGAGAGACCGAAGGTGTCTTTGTAGCATTGCTCGTATTTAATGGTATCATTGTGTGAACAACACTGAGCTCAAATGAAGGGTGCTAGGTAAGACAGGTAAGTCAGTCAGTTCTGAACCACCACCTATCTCGATGTGCAATGCTAAGGGAAATTGAATTAGGTTGGAAAAGAGTTCAGGGTGACGAGACAAAGATATGACACCAGTCGATAAAGTCTATGATTGTTGGTATGAGCCATGTAGGCTATCTGTCTGACGTGCCTGAGACGAAAGGAATCAGTGGTTGGGGACTTTTGGCGAAATGATTGTTAGTCGGTCACAATGGAGCAGATATATTCACTCTTTGGTATCTTCTTAAGCTTGAATGTTTTGATAAACCTTAGTTTTGAAATTTCCTCATCCTCCATACCTATTTTTCTACTTTGATGTCAGTTTTTCCTATCCACTTTTTATTTGTGTGCTATAGTGTAATGTGGCAACTTGAACTGATGCACTATTCTGCTAGATATCACACTGATCTGCATATTTATTTATTATACATCTTATAACCTGTTAAACTTCCGCATAGTTTTGAATATTTTCTCTTTTAATGCGTTGCAATTATATTTGATAAAGTGACTTGATTATTTCTCTTGTATTACTGAATTAGTCTTTAGTACTGGTTAGTCCTAAGCTCATCCTTTCCTGGTTGTAAATACAGATAAATTAGTTTCTGTTACTTCAGAACTTATACTTTTATTTGTTCTCACGGTTGACTCAGACCTAATTACTAATAAATGTTGTTGCTTGTATTATCCTGTCGTTGATTGGACTGAATTGGTCGGTCCCTATTGGCAATGTGACGTGCAATGCTAAAGGAAGTTGGATTAAGTTGGAAGAGAGCTAAGGGTTACTAGAAAAAGATATGGTACTAGTCCATGAAGTCTCCTACTGTTAGTGTGAATCGTATAGGAAGGTGTAGACTACCTGGTTAGAG